TCTTAAAGCCACAGCTCCTGGAATCCTGTGATTACATGAAAATTTCAACTTTCATTTAATGAAAGAAAAATAAGTTTCATGTCCTTGCAACTCAAAAATGTGACTGCTAAAGGCTCAGAAACCAGAAGGAAATAAAAAGAACTCCCCATTTATTGCTTGTACAATCTCCTTATTTTTATGACAATCTCACGATTTTTTTGGTGTCTGAATCATGTTTTTTGCACGCTGGCAATACCACGAAAGACACAATCTAACACTCTTCAGCAGGACGGGGGAGAAATAATCATGCTGACACCAAACCTTTATGATTTTTTTTTATTTCACATGGTTTAAAATACAATATGAAATAAGGCTACAGTATATAAAAAATTCTCCATCAAAATGATGTGCCAGCATCAGCAATTAAAACAAAACCAATCCCTCCCTTAAGAATCCATTTCAGAGGGGAGATTTTTGTATTTTTTTTAAACACACACACAGACACACACACACCGCTACATCTCTAAGCTACCTCAGTTCTGTTTTTTTTTTTAAAAAAGCACCTGCTTTTCCTCTTTTTTTTTTAATCTTGCTTTTAAATTTTTTTCACTTTTAAAAAATATAAATTATATGAAAATACAAGTTGGAAAATAGTTGAACAGCACAATATAACAATCTCTTTTTTTCTCTCTGTTTATCAGCTTTAAAAAAATCCCATGTGTAAAAACAAAACAAAAAAAGACATGTTCTTTTACTGAGGCAGTTAATTCCTGGGGATATTCCATTATAACACACATGTATACATATATTTATCATGTATTTAAAATTCTTTGGAATGTAGACAATAGCTCGACTGATGTTCTATAGACCCCATCAGAGAGACGCATGCAAAGGAAAGCACATTTGCAGTGTTTAGAATGAAAAGAAACTCAACAAGCTCTAATAACCCCATCAAGGTCACCTCCCAAACAGCGATGCTCAAAAAGTGCAGGGATTTGGATGTGTCCTAAATTTCAGATGCATATTGGAACCATTCTTTTTTTTTTTTATCTTGACATTGAGCTGGAAATCTCCTGAGAGAAGGTTACATTTTAGGCCAATGATGAATCATCTTCGAAATGTACGTCTGGAAGAGACCTCAAGAGGTCATCTAGGCCAACATCCTGTGCTGAGGCAGGACTAAATAAACCTAGACCATCCCAGACAGGTGTGTGTTTAACCTGTTCTTGAAAATCTCCAATGATGGGGATTCCACAACCTCCCCTGGAAGCCTGGTCCAGAGCTTATCTAACCTTACAATTAGAAAGATACTTCTAATATCTAACCTAAATCTCCCTTGCTTCAGATTAAGCCCATTACTTCTTGTCCTTCCTTCAGTGGACATGGAGAACAATTGATCACCATAAAAGCCCTTAGTATATTTGAAGACCTTATCAGGTCCCCCCTCAGTCTTCTTTTCTCAAAACTATGTATAACTTGGTTCGTGTCCTGTTCAGATATACCTCAAGAGTGGATTCTCACAGAATGATAATACTCTTCTGGGCAGAACCGGGAAGTGTAATCGAGTGTAAAAAACTGATGCACACACGTACACATGTGTGTATGTGATTCTAATACATACAAATGTATAGGTGTCTGTGTATCATCTTTTGTGTATTATAATCATCTACACATACACAGCGAGAGATGGGCAAATGCTGTAATGAAAAAATGTCTGTAAATATCTGTTCAAATTTTTTAAATGAATTCCCTTTGACTGAGGTCCCTTTTCTTTCCAGGCATAATTTTACTGGAAGAAAGCCACTTTAAACCAATGTCGCAGAATATTCCCAACAAGCAAACTTTGAATTCCTGAAGTATTCAACAATACAAAGAATCCTGCCTCAGCGTGGAGGGGATGGACTAGCTGATCTCTACAGGTCCCTTCCAGCCCTACATTTCTAGGCATGTAAGAATAACATGCATAGAATTAGCCTCATCCAGTTGGAAAAATGGGCCCATATCATGTGACTTGGGTGCTGAAGCACAATATGTTGGCTATTAAGTACTTGCAGTGAACTACAAGATCAAGAATTAGTCATAAAAATATTTGGAATCAATTAACAGATTTGAGAAATTCCAGAACAAAAGAGAAATTCATTGAATTAAATCTGGTTTAAATATTTGCCCAGGGTGCAATTCACCCCAGTCCAGAGGGGCCAGCACTAGACACCAGTTAACCCATCAAAATAAGACTCGTGCTGGATCTTTGCACAGAGGTGAATTGCAACCCCAGTGCATGCTCTCTTTCACACACATTCTATAGATATTGCGTGTATGTAGGTTAACCAAACTTTTTCACACCTCATAAAAGATGCAGTTGGAGGTTTAGGTGCAGGTACATATTTGGCCTTAACTTTATCTCATCTGGGTCACACATCCCTGTTCAATAGTCAACATGCATTTAAAAAAAAATCTGCAATTTTCCAGTGTATAAACAGCACACTGTGCTTTCTGTGACAGGCTCTAGCCTAGAAGGGGGGAGGGAGGGGAAGCAAATTATGGGTCAAGTCAGTACATGTCACCAAGGCTATTCTGTCTGACGCTTGTGGCATTTACATGCAGATTGCAATCTGGATGGCAAAGGATGGTGAGTAAACTTGGCAAAGCATTGGTAGGAACATGTTGGCAAAGATGGCACCATTCATTTTGTAGCCCTTCTAGATCACTTTGAGAACATATCCCTGTACGTTATGGAAACAGATTGTCTTGGGTAGAAACAGCTTAATACAGAAAATCTGCCCACAATCAACCCTCGTGGAATGAATGACTTGATCAGGTCTGGCAGAAATATTGGGGGTCAGCACACAAACCCAAGTCCCAACCATTCATAGTAAAGTAGGGGGGTAGGGATAGCGATAGCTCAGTGGTTTGAGCATTGGCCTGCTAAACCCAGCGTTGTGAGTTCAATCCTTGATGGGGCCACTTAGGGATCTGGGGCAAAAAAAAATAGTTGGGGATTGGTCCTGCTTTGAGCAGGGGGTTGGACTAGATGACCTCCTGAGGTCCCTTCCAACCCTGATATTCTATGATTACTGACTGACTTTCTGCTTGAACTGAACTGGGGGACTCTGCACTGTGACCAACCCCAGGGGACAGACACTTGCTGGGTGGGTTAGAAGGCAGAAAGAGTGGTGGGACGTCTGCCCTGGTCACTAACACCCTTTACAGGAGTAATCCTGTAAATTAAAGGTGATGATTTAAGGTCTGGCTACAAACTGCCCAGAACTGACACTGTAACATGTTAACCTAAGGGCACTTTCTGTGGTTCTATGGAACTTATAAAACCCCAGAAGCCTAGGAGAATTGTGTTACCAGTTGAGAATTTAAAGAGTCACAGGCTACTATGCTGGTTTTATTTGGGACAAGTGTATTTTGCTGGAATCACCTCTGGTTCAAGTGGTTCTCTGCCTCCCTGGAAAACAGAGCCTGAAATCTTCCTCCTTATATATCTTCTCAGAAGCCCAAACTAACTCTCTGCACTCAGCTACCACCACCTTTATCACTCAAAAGCTCCATCAAGATGCCTTCAGCCTACTCAAAGTGCAGGGAGCAGCCTCACTCAGCCTTCCCACTACAGCACAGCCCGCCGTACACAGCTATGAATCAGTCACCTTCTGGACGGGCGTTTGACTTCACATATTCTCTCTTTGCATCTAGTTTCTAGCAGGGAGGAGGAGCACCTGGTCTACAGCAGCACAACATCAGCATCTTCCTTTGCTTCCTCCAGCTTGAGCTGAACTCCAATCCCCTTTTGCATCAGCCCTCCTTTCTCACTTCTGCAATCTCTCACCTGCCACAGCTGCCAGTCCCCCTTTGCTGAGGGTTAAAGGCATTGAATGCTCAAGATGCTAGATGAGAACTGCTCTTTCAGAAGGCAGACTGTCCTTTCTTCATTCAGTGCATGCTCCTTTCACCTTCCTTCCATCACGCTTTCCTTCATCTGCACCAGTCCTCTCTGTACGTTGGGCGGGATCAGGTCTTAGCCCCAGACATGTACTCTGACACCTGGACTTCCCTGGCCCCATAGCCACCATCTGCCTTCAACATTCTTGGTTTAAACGCCCCCCTAATCAGCTTGCTACATTTTTCCATGTGTTCAGCTTTACACCTACCAGCCTGCTAAGCCAGGCTAAGCTCTCTGACACGCCGGGCCTGACTGAGTTTCAATCAAATAAAGCTTGCTTAAAAACGAACGCCCTGATATTCACAGGGCCTGAACACATGCCGTTCTTGTAGAGTCCAATGGGAGCTCAGCACCTTTGTGTCAGGGCATCATCTTTCCATAGAACTCAACTGACAGCATCCCATGGCTTCCTGTTTGACCCTGCCCTCCTATACCCCAGTGCTCTGGCTTCACAGAGATGGGAAAACAGGAAGCAAACTGGATGTTCAGACTAAATACAAGAGTGTTTTTAGCAACTTTTATTCAGAGCCCAGTTCTGCAGACCTGATACATGATCTCCCATTGTTCTGTTTCCCCTGCATTGATCTACAAAGTCTCTCCACCCTCCCACTCTCTGTATTGATTCACCGCAGAGCTTCGGAAATTAGTTCAGCCGTTAAAGAAAATATATCCAGTTCAAATATTTAATACTGTCTTTACCAAAAAAAAAAAAGATATTTAAAGTCGAAAGCCCAAATCCTACAGTCAGATTGGCAGGGATTTACCCGTGTGGATCTGGTTTCAGAATCTGGTCTAAACATTTAAAACTCAGGGCCTGATTCTCCCCTTCACTTTGGGACTGGTCCAGAATTAAAGCTAATGAAGAGTTGGCCACTAGCTTCAGTGGGATCAATCCCCCTCCTGATGTACACCAGGAGTACATCAGGAGTGATTGCTCTGAAGTCAATGGAGTTACAAAGGGCAAGGGAGAGGAGGATCAGGCCCTAAGGGATGTCTACACAGAAAAAAAAAAAAAAAAAGACCCCTGGCAGTGAGTCTCAGAGCCCAGGCCAGCTGACTCAGGCTCCTGGGGCTCAGGCTGTGGGGCCAAAAACAACAGTGTAGACGTTCAGGCTCGGGCTGGAGCCTGGGATCTGAAATTTGGCAAGACGGGAGGGTCATGGAGCCCAGGCTTCAGCCCGAGCCCGAATATCCACACTGATATTTTTAACCCCGCGGTGTGAGCCCCAGTCGGCTCTGAGAATTGCGGCTGCGGGGAGGAGTTTGTTGTGTAAATATATCCTCCATGTCTAAGCTGTATCCACACACTCCGGGCTCAAAGCCTGATCCAGCAAAGCAGTTAAGCACATGCTTAACATCAGGCACACAAATAGTCCACTCACTTCAATGGGGCTATTCATGAGTTTAAGCATGTGCGTGCAAGTTTCACTGGACTGGGCTTGTGTGCAAGGCATCTTGAGGGATTGCTCCCATTTGAGTCTGAGTTTCCATTTTGGATGTGTCTAGAATGGCTGACCGTACAGCACTGCAGGCAGCACTGGTCAAAAACGGAGGGAAAAACCATCAAAAGTTTCCAAATCATCCTTGTTTCACTTTTCATCGTTCAAAACTTTTCATGATTTTTTTTCCCTAACGCATTTTTCCATTTTCCCTTCAGCACTGACTGCATTCAAAATAGGAAAATGTCAAAACTGAACTTCTTTGCTCAGCTTAGTCACGGGGTGGGATATTAAACAAAACAAATTAGCAGTTACTTCAAAGTGTTAAAAACATTCCTTTAAAAAAAAACCACTTTCTGATTTTGAAAATGATATATGAAAATGTCAGCAACATTTTCGATACATCAGAAATTTAAAACAAAAACCATGGTTTTGAAAATATGGCTGTCCCAAAAAGATGTTTTTTAACAACAACAACAACAACAAAATTTCCTTTTGAGACATTTCATCCAGCTTTAGCAACAAACAATAGAGCAAAGTGCATGGGACTCAATGCAAATGCAAAGCATCCTCCCAGCATTTTTGGTGGCTGATTTGGCACTCATTTTCCTTCACATAAGATTCAGAGATCATAAGTCAGAGCGCTACACTTCTCCAGTGGGGTCTACATAAACAATTATTTTTTCTTCACTGTGATAAAACTCTCTGCTGGCATAACAGAAACATACATACACACACAATATTGCAAGACTGAGACCATCTTGGAGCTTAAGACTATTTTAAAAAAAATACTGGCACAAAATTTAATAAAATAAAATTTTAACAAATAATAATTAAAAAAATCTTGGTCCCTCCTAAAAAAAAATCTGTCTTTTGTGTAACAGAAAAATAACCGACAGAAAAGCAAAGGAACAATACCTGTTCTTGTTTTTTCCTATGTCATCCCCTCCCACAAAACAGGAAGTTCCACCTTCCCTTTGCCCCTCCCATCAATAAAAGAACCAATCGCATAATCCTTAGGAGTCTTGTCACTTCCTGAATTGTCAGTTTGTTGCGCTGGTAACACAGTAATCAAGGGGATCTTTTCATTAATAATGTTTCCAGATGGTATGAGATGGGGAGGGTTTATTTTAATTTTTTTTTAAGTGAGCTATATTTTTCTGGCTTCCTTAAAACTAAGAAATTCACCCTCAAAAACCTCTCAGAGAACTTTCAGATAAAAAGTTCCATCTTTCTTCTCCCAACCAAACATTGTCAGATTCAGCCAAAAGCTTGACTTTGCCCACCCTCCTCTCCCCATCAAAAATGTCAAATTTGAGTTGCTCTTGAAAAAATATAGATAGATATTTAACTGCAAAAAAAAAAAAAATTTTTTTTTAAGGTCTTGTTGAATCTCCAGACCGACACGACACAACCTTCCACACAGTCTGGCTGGTCCGATTCACTCATCGGCATCGGGTTTGACGTCCAGCATGGCATGGAGTTCCTCGGGCGTGTAGCCCAGAAGGCTCTGCAGGTCGCAGACGAAACGGTACACGTAGCGCTTGCCGGCCGTCTTGTGGATGATGTTCTTGTCATAGTAGTAGCGAAGCCCACGGCTCAGCTTCTCGTAGTTCATCTTGGGCTTGTTTTTCCTCTTGCCCCATCGCCTGGCAACCTGGAAGAGGAGAACAAAGGTGAAGAAGGGCTCATAGATTAAGTGTAGATATTAAAATAAGTCTCTTCCTCCTGGCTTGGCTGGGTGATAAGGGGCTGGGAGCTTCTGCCGCTGGGAGAGCTAATGGTGATAAGCTTTTTCTCCCCCTCATCATGAAGAATGGACTCAGGGAGGAGTTGCATGTCAGGGTTTGCAGAGGGCCAGCAGATCAAATCCCTCCTGGGCTGGTGAAACAGCACCCATGGATTCTGCTGGGGGATCATGAAGTGGAATCAGATGAAGACAAGAGACGGGGAAGGGGATAATTTTAGGCTCTTTGGGGCAGTGACTGTCTTTTTGTGCATACAGCGCCTAGCATGCTTGGGGCCTGGTCCACGGCTGGTGGCCTCTAGAGCTGTGCAAATAACATCGAGGGGAAATAGTGTCGGGTAAAACTGAAAACAATTTTTTTCAACATTTTTGGCAAATCAAGAAAAATTGTTTTGGCTCCAACTAAACTTTTTTTTTTTCTTTTACAACGTTGCAATATTTTGTTTCAATTTCAACCATTTAAACCATTTTTGACTGTTTTTTTAAATACAATTAAAGGAAATTTTGAACTGAAAAATGGAAGCGCTTTATTTGTCTCAGAATTATCTTTCCTCACGACAGAAACGATTGGGCAAAAATGACACAAAGTGGCGATGCCTTTTGCTGTTGCTGAATTTTCATTTTTCACCAAAAAACCCCAACTTTGGTATGAAATATTTCACCTAGTTTCTAGGTGCCACTGCAATACAATTCATAATTGCTCATTAATAATCAGACTTTCATGGGCACTCTCTAAACCATTGATTTTTCCAGAAAACATTGAGGGAGCAACACCCTACTACCTTGTTCCACCCCCCCCTACACACACACACACACACACACACACACACACAGGATCATACTGACAGGACTTGTAGCATCTCAGCCATGAAGAGAGAGGACTTAGATTATTCTCCTAAGCATTTTCAATGGTCTCTGATCAGTTATAATGGGCCATACCTCGTCTGGGTCCGAGAGCTTGAATTCCCAGCCATCGCCTGTCCAGCTGATGAAGGATTGGCAGGACTTGTCGGTGAGCAGCTCCAGCAGGAACTGCCACAGCTGGATGGGTCCACTGCCTAGGAATGCAAAGAAGCCACAAGTTGTTAAAACCAGGTGAGCCAGGAATGAAACCGATGCAGATTTCTTTCCATCCATCCTCCTCCAGGGGAAGAGGCACGCAAGCAGATGGATACAAAATGTGTTGGCTGTTTGTTAGTACAGAGAGCACTGGGACCTGTGACTCTGGTTCTGTTATATGCTCCACCCCTGACTCGGATGCCTTCAACTCCCTTTCTAAACTCCGTGGATGCACTTGAGGCCTTCTTAGACTTCGGGTTCCTTGAGGCAAGGCCTATGATTTCCTCTGTGTTTATACATTGTGCTTAGCACAGTGGGAGCGTGATCCGGGATGGGATCTTTGAGTGCAACCTTAATATCAGTTATTATTAATATTAATAGGTGGTGTTCACTGTATACAAAAACTGACATCTCAGGGGCCTACAGTAGCAGTCCAAGTGAAGATCTGAGCTGAACTGGCAGTTTGAGAGTTAACTTGTACAGGTAAAGCTGCTTCCTACTGCAGTCCGAGTGGAATGTTCAACCACTGGAATGTTTCACCTCAGTCTAAGTTACATAAAGAGGATTATTTCTTGGCATTAAATAGGGAGGAATCATTTTTCTGCCACTGAAGAGCTGTCTTCGCTTACATGCCAAAAAGCTCCCAGCCACTGCTCGAACTCCTACACTATCACACGCCGCCTTCTGACCTTTGCATTCTGCTTCATGGCTGTGCACTGAGATGTGATAAAGGGGACATAGGTATGAAAATTATTTGGCCTCTCTCCAGGACATGTTGCTGCAGGAACCACCTACATAAACTCGCAGAGAACAAGAGGCAACTCAGTGCAGCCGGCACAGCTATTGCTGCAAGGAACAGGGTTGACTGGGCAGGTGGGCACCTGGGAAGCAGGAAGGCATTTCTGATGAGCGCTGTAATAACGTAACAGAATGGAGGGTAGGCAGAAGGTGGTCTCACAGGTTAGCATCTTGAATAATTCCAAGACTTAGAACTAGAGCCTCTGCGAGATTGGAGTGTGCAGGCTGACACGAGGGTCTTCTGTACTAAAGGTGCTTGTATATTTTCCAGCAGCGTCCTAGAACACTGCAAATAGAATCCCTCCAGGCAATGACATCCTGAAATCAGCTGGGCCTGAATCCCTCTGCACACTGTGCAGCTTGGAGCCAGCAGAAGAGGAGAGCTTGCAATGTCCAACCAACTCCTAGCTGGCCAGAAGCAAGTTCCCCGGGTGATTGTTCTCATGATGTATCATCATGGATACGGAGGTGAAGGGTCTGTGGGTGAAGCCTCCCTTGTTATATACATTTGAGTCATAAAAAGCTATTTGTTTTGCAGCTCCATTGCAAGTACCATATGGGTGCTAATTTTGGCCATCGGCTATTTGTCAAGAAACGGCAATGCACGCGTGCATCTGCTGTCAAAACCCTCCCAGTGATCATCTTGTGAACTTTCCTGTGCTTTTAGTCCCAGCTGGCACTGTGTGGTGTCCACTTGTCTGCAGTGTGCAAGTTGGTGGTTTTAAATCCGAACCGTCTCTTGCTGACTAACTTTTTCCGTCTGTGTCAGGAATAACGATTCCGGGAGGACAGCACCCTTCATCTGATCAGCTGAAAACAAACAACTTGTTTCTCTACAGCAATCAGATGCCCAGGGATGCCAAATTCTCCTTGCTCCCAGAACTGATTTTCTCTAGGGGGCCTCAGCTGTACTTGGCTGAGGCTGGACAATTAATTTAAAGGCACTATACTCCCTGTCTATCTGCATTGTATCTTACCATGCCTCAGGGCATCTGATTCCTACGTGCAGGGATGGCGCTTCAATTTAGGCGACCTAGGCGGTTGCCTAGGGCACCAGGATTTGGGGGGGCGGCATTTTGCTGCCCTCGGCGGCGGGGGGGTCCTTCCGCGCTCCGAGTCTTTGGCGGCAATTCTGTGGCGGGTCCTTCACTCGCTTCAGGACCCGCCGCCGAAGTGCCCCGAAGACCGGGAGCGCGGAAGGACCCCCCCCGCTGCAGAATTGCCGACGGCGACCGGGAGCGCGGAAGGACCCCCACCTAGGGCGCCAAAAACCCTGGCGCCGCTCCTGCCTACGTGCTTAAGCAGGGCTGACGCAAGGTACATAGCACATTGCCCTGAGAGATTGTGGCTTTACACACTTTCCAGTAAGGCTTTCACTGGATCAGTCATATGCTGATTGACTCCTAAATACTGATCTCTTCTTTTCACTCATGTCCCAGGCAAAGCCAAAATGGATGCCCTCAAGCCAAAACCTGTCTGATTAGCACCTTTCATGTGGGGCCACACCTAGAACACGGTGTTCAGCTTTGGGCAACGTACTTCCAGCAAGATAGTGACACATCTAAGAGGAGTTCAGAAAAGGGCAAACGAAAATGATCCAGGGAATGACTTACAAGAAAAGAATTACATATATAAAGCTGGGTTAGGCAACAGCTGATGTGAGGGAAAGGAGAACAGACTGATCATGGCAATGGGTGTACGCCTGAGCTGGCAGAAGGGGTGGCTAATGGAACATTGGGATGAAGTTACTTGATGACAATTCACACTGCATGTCAGGATAAAATTCCTGCTGGTGGGAATCGGAGGATGCGGAATAATCTGCCAAGGGATGTGATGGATGATGTCCTATTGCTTTTGGAGTCAGAGATTCCAAGGCCAGAAGGGACCATTGTGATCATCTAATCTGACCTCCTGTATAACACAGGCCAGAGAACTGCCCCCAAAGAATTCCTGCTGGAACAAGTGCAGATCTTTTAGAAGGAACATCCAAATTTTGATTTAAAAATTGCCAGTGATTGGGACATTTAAAACTATTGGGAACTAGACAAACCGCTAGTAGAGAGGGAACCATCCTGCCTGGTGAAGGGACAGACTAAGGCTATGTCTACACTACAGAATTAGGTCGGATTTATAGAAGCCGGTTTTATAGAAACCGGTTGTATGCAGCCGATTGTGTGTGTCCCCACCTAAAATGCTCTAAGTGCATGAAGTCGGCGGACCGCGTCCACAGTACCGAGGCTAGCGTCGACTTCCGGCGCATTGCACTATGGTACCTATCCCACAGTTCCCGGAGCCTCCGGCGCCCATTGGAATTATGGGTTGAGATCGCAATGCCCGGATGATGCAAAGCAGTGCCGCGAGGGGTTCTGGGTACATTGCGTCAGGCCCCTCCCCCGCCGTCACAGCAACGGCAGACAATAGATTCGCGCCTTTTTACCTGGGTTACCTGTGCAGACAACATACCACGCCAAGCATTGAGCCCGCTCAGCTCAGCTCACCGTCACCATATCTCTTCCGGGTGCCGGCAAACGTGGGACTGCATTGCTAAACAGCAGCAGCAGCTTACTGCCTTTTGGCGGTAGACGGTGCAGCATGACTGGTAGCCTTCATTGGCGATCTGGGTGCTGGCAGCTGTGGGGCTGGCAGCCGTAGGGCTGCATTGCACCAGCCCCTTGCCTTTTGGTAGAAGATGGTATATTACAACTGGTAACCGTCGTCATCGTACTGCAGTGGCTGTCGATCATGGGCACCCGGGCAGACAATGATGGTTATCAGTCGTAGTATGCTATTTTCTGCCAAGTGCCCAATATTGTCTGCTAAGCACCCAGAAGAGGCCGAGGGCTATCTGGGTGCTGGCAGACATGGGGCTGGCAGCCGTGGGGCTGCATTGCACCAGCCCCCTTGCCTTGATGATGATGGTTATCAGATGTATTATTCGCAGGATGGGGCAACATTGCTATACAGCAGCAACCCCTTGCCTTTTGGGCAGAAGATAGTATATTACGACTGGTATCCATCGTTGTCATACTGCAGTGGGCATCAGATCGTGCAATAGACCTGAAGGCTTACTGCCAAGCGCCCAGTATTTGCTGCCAAGCACCCAGAAAATGCCAAGGGCTATCAGTCATGCTGCGCCGTCGTCTTAAGATGTAAAAAATAGATTTATTCTCCATTCATTTGCTTCCCCCCTCCCTCCTGCTAAACCCAGGCTTTTGAGTTCAATCTTTGGGGGGGGGGGCATTCTGTGTGACAGTTGTTTGTGTTTCTCCCTGATGCAAAGCCACCTTTCTTGATTTTAATTCCCTGTACCTGTACGCGGTGTCACTCGCCCCTCCCTCCCTCTCTCCCTCCCTCCCTTCTTCCCCTGGTCCGTCAGATACTACTTTCGCGCCTTTTTTCAGACCAGACGCCATAGCCAGCACTGGGATCATGGAGCCCGCTCAGATCACCGCGGCAATTCTGAGCACTATGAACACCACGCGCATTGTCCTGGAAAACATGCAGAGCCTCCTGGACATGCCAAAGCCAAACCAGGACCAGCTGAGGAGGAGGCGATTGCAGCGCGGCGACGATAGTGATGAGGAAATTGACATGGACCTCTCACAAGGCACAGGCCCCAGCAATGTGGAAATCTTGGTGTTACTGGGGCAGGTTCATGCCGTGGACCGCCGATTCTGGGCCCGGGAAACAAGCACAGAGTGGTGGGACCGCATCGTGTTGCAGGTCTGGGACGATGCCCAGTGGCTGCGAAACTTTCGCATGCGTAAGGGCACTTTCATGGAACTTTGTGACTTGCTTTCCCCTGCCCTGAAGCGCCAGAATACCAGGATGAGAGCAGCCCTCACAGTGGAGAAGCGAGTGGCGATAGCCCTGTGGAAGCTTGCAACGCCAGACAGCTACCGGTCAGTCGGGAATCAATTTGGAGTGGGCAAATCTACTGTGGGGGCTGCTGTGATCCAAGTTGCCAGGGCAATGAGAGACCTGGTGATATCAAGGGTAGTGACTCTGGGAAACGTGCAGACCATAGTGGATGGCTTTGCTGCAATGGGATTCCCAAACTGTGGTGGGGCGATAGACGGAACCCATATCCCTATCTTGGCACCGGCGCACCAAGCCACCGACTACATAAACCGCAAGGGGTACTTTTCAATGCTGCTGCAAGCCCTGGTGGATCACAAGGGACGTTTCACCGACATCAACG